GCCACCTATTATCAGCCTCAAGGCAAATTATGCTAACTTACTGATTTGATACTTTTCTTGGCGCTTTACTTAGAAATTTCCCCCGGACTTCCTCTGGCCAAACTTCCAGCAGCTGTCCAGTTAGGCTACTCACCATTATTTTAATCTCATTTGCCAACAAAGTCAACTGAAGAATGGAAAGGTCTCCATCAAGTTCATGGCTTACAACTATGGGTGGGTTGGACGCCCATTAGTCACTGCCGCACAGACTTTTAATTTGATCTAGAATTTGAAGCCAGATTCAAGTCATCAGCCATTCTCCCAGGGCAGAAATGCCTGGATATATAGTATCATAAAGGAAGGAAAAAGGTAATTCACCCTGAATATTTATGAAGATTAGGTAGTATTTTTTATTATGTGGACTTTCATTGTACCTTTGGAAAAACTCTTACCTAAGTCTGCCCCACGTTATTTATTACTGAGTAGGTATGATATAAATTTATTTATCTCATGAGCCTACCTTGTATTTGTAAAGCTTATATTTTGAAATGCTTATATGAAAGTACTGACTAGGCTATAGGGACATGAATTATTACTCTAAACTTGAAGCATGAGGAAAGATCATAACTCCAAAAACACTCGATTATTTCTCATACTAGTAAATATGAGAATATCTTAATAAATTAAATATTAAATATTTATGAATCAAAGCTTAATGTTAATTAATGTTAGGTAATTTTAGTAAACATGGGAAATATAAAAATGTATAGGATGGTCCTGGCTCTCGATGGCCTTATAATCCATATGAGAAGAAAAGAGAAAAATTAAAAATTATAAAAATCATATCACAATATAAGAGACGTCGAAAGGCAACATATTGTTCCTTGACACATGAAATGCAATGAGCAAAGTAACTACTCTAGGTAGGGGAAGGAGAGATCATTTCCAGAAACAGTGGGTAGGGATGACTGTAAAGTAAAAAATGTATCAACCAGATCTTGAATTTGAACTCCATGAGACAGAGATGGAGGAGGGAATTCTTGGTGGAAGGATCACAATGAGAAAGAGTACAGATGCAAAAAAAGGAAAAAGGGGGCTTCCCTGGTGGCGCAGTGGTTGGGAGTCCGCCTGCCGATGCAGGGGACATGGGTTCGTGCCCTGGTCCGGGAAGATCCCACATGCCACGGAGCGGCTAGGCCCCTGAGCCATGGCCACTGAGCCTGCGTGTCCAGAGCCTGTGCTCCGCAACGGGAGAGGCCACAACAGTGAGAGGCCCACGTACAGCAAAAAAAAAAAAAGGAAAAAGGGTATAGATCCAAAAACTAACTTACACAACTGCAAGTTAGGGTGACATGGAGAGTTCTAGTACGGGATAGTGCTGGAAAGGCTATTTGGAACTGGACTGTGGAGGGCTTTGAAGGCCATGTTGAGGAGTTGAGGTTTCTGAACAGAAAAGCATTTCGGTCAATGCAGCATTTTAGAAATATGAATTTGGCTATGGTATGCCAGATTAAATGGATCAGGAAGGACTAGAGGCCAGGAGCTCAAAAGGAACCCACAGCATGTTCAGGTGTGGGATAAAGGCAGTGGGACGGGAAAGGTAGAGGTGGGAGCAGGAAATACTGAGGAGGAAGCCCTCTCGTTTTCAATGTGCTGATTAGCATGTATTGTTGGAGCTTTCTGTTCCTTTCTAAAGGACCGTCAAGTCAGTGGGTTCCCAAGAAGTGATTCATTTTAAGAGTTGGGGGTGGGGAACGGGGAAATGGAGGAGTTACTAATTTTGAACTTGCAACATCTCATACCTGTGTAAGTGGGTATGTTTTCTTCTTAATCTTGTATCGTTAACTCAGGACACAAAAATGTTAGCTCAAAAATGTTTTTTTTAAAAAGTGTCATGAAGTGTAAGGATTAAAGGAAATCCGAGAACATTTTATTTTAAAAGAAAGTGAACTCTAGTTGAATACTCCAAACTTTTCCATCGGTACAACTGAAGGACGGCCCCAAGAATTCCAGGAATTCCTTATGCCTGCAGCCCTACGCTGGAACTCCTATCAAAATAACCTGCTGGTTTTGGATATTTGTGATTTAATGTATTTATTATCCAGAAATTCAGGGAAACTTGATTTATCTTTGAATGAGCAGGGGAAAAAAGTTTCAGGAGAGTTTTTCAACAATTCAAATCTCGTGCCCTGGTATTTTTGGTGTGTTTATACATACGTATACCAATACATGAATGTATACAAAATGTATACAAATACATACATATTTGCACATATGGTAATGCTATTGGCATCCAGGCTTCTGCACTGAATCTGTACAACCAAGTTCAGGCCTTATCGCTCACAGAAATGCAGTCCCTTTGCCCTTCAGGGGCCCTGAAGCTTGGCACACAATATTCCCAGTAACACCACTTGACAGAAAGATGGCGCCCAACAGAAAGCCTCCTTCCCACATTCCCTACACCTCACTGCACAGCCCAGCACTCAGAATCCTGCAGCGTCAAATCCAACTCTTTCCAACCCCTTGGCTATTTTGAGACTGTCCCTTGAGGGCGGGAACAGAAAAAAGTCGGAAGCGGAGACAGGTTTGCAGTGACTTGGGTACCTAGGGCTCTCTGGGAGCCTACACTGAACTCAGGGTGCAGGCCCCCACCCCCCCCTCTTTCTAGCCCTCTCCTTTCCTTGCTCCCCCTTCTCAAGCTTCCCAAGTTGGCAGAACTAGGGCAGAACTAGGCTGACAAGTCCTAGGGCAGGGGTGAATAAACAAATAAATCAGCCACATCCACACCCACCCACCTTCTAGCACTGATTATCAAGTTCGGGCCTAAAGCAGATTTATGTTTGGATATAGAGAAAGTGGTTTAAACTGCTGGACTTTATAAACTGAATAAACATTGCTTTTAGCTCTTGACTTGGGTAGCTGTGGAAGTCAGTCTTTCTCTACAGGGTAAGAATATGAGTTGGTTCCTTTCAGACGCTATGCTTTTTTTTTTTTTTTTTTTTTTGCGGTACGCGGGCCTCTCACTGTTGTGGCCTCTCCTGTTGCGGAGCACAGGCTCCGGACGTGCAGGCTCAGCGGCCATGGCTCACGGGCCCAGCCGCTCTGCGGCATGTGGGATCTTCCCGGACCAGGGCACGAACCCGTGTCCCCTGCATCGGCAGGCAGACTCTCAACCACTGCGCCACCAGGGAAGCCCCCGCAGATGCTATGCTTTTTATTCCAATGCTAGAAAGATGTGTGAGCATTATATAACACTTTCATGCACCCTTACATGGGTAATTAGAAGCTGTTTACCCGTCCTTGTTCTCAAAGATTCGATTAAGGTCTTTTTATTTTCAAGGCTGAGCTGAGGACCTTACTGTGGTGGAATCAGACAGGGGGCCTGAACACCTTCTGCTGCATTGTGTGCTCACGGTGCCCATCCTGTAGGTGGGTCCCCACATATAAGCACACCGACTGCAGGGCTGACTCACTAATTTTAAACCCATGCAGCTGCCAACTCAGGGGTCTCTGATATAACTTTAAATGCTATCGGATTTTAATCTTCTGGAGTATTTACATATTTTCTTCTCTCATCCCTCCAAAACTAATCCTAGAGTTTTGAGAATCTGGGAACTTGGGTAAAGGAGAAAACAACTTGGGCAGACCAAGAAATCTGAAATCTCAGTTCACTATGTCGTCCAAAACTAATGTACCTTTCTGTTTGCACTGACCCAGCTCAAACTGCAAAATCACGTGAGTAATAAAACACAAAATCCTGGTGTTATAACTGAATGTGAAAAGTCTGAAATGTAATTAAACGTGCTCTGTCTTCGTGGCGGTGTCACTTATTCCACGTTAACATTTGTGTTTCCTTAAGCCTCTCTCTTCATAGTATCGACACACACTGTTGCATCATACTCACACATCCATCAGCTGGGACTGGGGAGTGTGTGTTTTTCCAACTGGTCCTCAGCATTAGCTGTCAGATGCACAAACCTTCCCTTCCTTTCTGCATCTGCTGTCCTGGAACAACAGAAGCTTCGTGCAAGAATAGCTCCCAGAGAGCGTTGCTGACAGATGCGCGGTTTGCTCGAGCAAGGCGCTTGCTGGAAAGTTTCCTCTAACCGCTAACACCCGCCTCCGATCCCCTGAGCTGGCAGGACGCAGGCTGGCTGGGTCCCCTCTTGACGGAGGAAGGCTTTTACACGCACTCTCCTAGGCTGCCCAACACGAGAAACAATCTTGCAGCCAGACTCCTCCAACCCCAGTGAACAGACCGTCCAAGGCGCTCTGGTGCTTCGAGAACACCGAGGTCCCCTCCCCGCTAAAGGAAGCGCGCGCTCTGCTCCGCAGGAATCCTGGGCACCGGAGGTAGACGGGTAGCGAGTTGAGCCCGAGCGCAGGAAGGAGCCAAACGCCGGAGGCAAACGGGGCGCAGGAGAGGAGAGACTGGGGTCCGCGGGAGGGGACAGGGTGGGAGCCGGGCGCCGTAGGGAGCCAAGGGGAACTGGGCGCTGGAACCAGCGGACTCAGGAAGGCGCGCGCGCGCAGGAACCCGCGGGCGCCGAGGAGACGCTCGCTTGGCCCTCTGCCTCACTCCTCGGAGCCGCGGAACCGCCGGTAGGAGGGGGGGCTGCGGGGGGTTGCTGCGGGGAACCAGACAGGGGCGTGCCTTCGCCCGGATTGGCTGCAGGAGCCTGACGCGAGGCCCCGGGGGTTGGCTCGGGGGAGTGGGACTGGGGTGGGTTGGGTGCTGGGTGCCGGGGCTGCGGGCTCCGCGCGCTCAGAAACATGCTGAGGTCCCGGCAGCTGTTCCAGCAGCGACAGCGGCTCCAGCAGCAGCGGCGGCGGCGGCGGCGGCGACAGCGCACGGCTCCGGCTGGGAAGGCGCCCGGCGCCCATGCCTCCGGCCCAGCGCTTCGGCTGTCCTGACCTGGCCGCGACCTCCCTCCGCGCGCCCCGCCGCCCGGGCCTCTGGGGGGTTCCCCAACCGCGGCCCAACTCCGCCACACCCCCTCCCCCGGCCTCCGCAGCTCGGCATGGGCGCGGGGGCGCTCGCCCTGGGCGCCTCCGAGCCCTGCAACCTGTCAACCGCCGCGCCGCTCCCCGACGGCGCGGCCACGGCGGCGCGGCTGCTAGTGCCCGCGCTGCCGCCCGCCTCGCTGCTGACCCCCGCCAGCGAGGGATCCGCGCCGCTGTCGCAGCAGTGGACGGCCGGCATGGGCCTGCTGATGGCGCTCATCGTGCTGCTCATCGTGGCGGGCAACGTGCTCGTGATCGTGTCCATCGCCAAGACGCCGCGTCTGCAGACGCTCACCAACCTCTTCATCATGTCCCTGGCCAGCGCTGACCTGGTCATGGGGCTGCTGGTGGTGCCGTTCGGGGCCACCATCGTGGTGTGGGGCCGCTGGGAGTACGGCTCCTTCTTCTGCGAGCTCTGGACCTCGGTGGACGTGCTGTGCGTGACGGCCAGCATCGAGACCCTGTGTGTCATCGCCCTGGACCGCTATCTCGCCATCACATCGCCCTTCCGCTACCAGAGCCTGCTGACCCGCGCGCGGGCGCGGGCCCTCGTGTGCACCGTGTGGGCCATCTCGGCCCTGGTGTCCTTCCTGCCCATCCTCATGCACTGGTGGCGGGCTGAGGGCGACGAGGCGCGCCGCTGCTACAACGACCCCAAGTGCTGCGATTTCGTCACCAACCGGGCCTACGCCATAGCCTCGTCCGTCGTCTCCTTCTACGTGCCCCTGTGCATCATGGCCTTCGTGTACTTGCGGGTGTTCCGCGAGGCCCAGAAGCAGGTGAAGAAGATCGACAGCTGCGAGCGCCGCTTCCTCAGCGGCCCCACGCGGCCGCCCTCGCCCTCGCCCGCGTCCTCGCCCGCGCCCCCGCTCCCGACCGCCGCCGCCTCCCCGGTGGCCAACGGGCGCGCCAGCAAGCGGCGCCCCTCGCGCCTCGTGGCCCTTCGCGAGCAGAAGGCGCTCAAGACGCTGGGCATCATCATGGGCGTGTTCACGCTCTGCTGGCTGCCCTTCTTCCTGGCCAACGTGGTGAAGGCTTTCCACCGCGACCTGGTGCCCGACAGCCTCTTCGTCTTCTTCAACTGGCTGGGCTACGCCAACTCGGCCTTCAACCCCATCATCTACTGCCGCAGCCCCGACTTCCGCAAGGCCTTCCAGCGCCTGCTCTGCTGCGCGCGCCGGGCCGCCCGCGGGAGCCACGCGGCCGCCGGGGACCCGCCGCGCGCCTCGGGCTGCCTGGCGGTGGCCCGGCCGTCGCCGTCGCCCGGGGCCGCCTCAGACGACGACGACGACGACGACGTCGGGACCTCGCCGCCCGCGCGCCTGCTGGAGCCCTGGGCCGACTACAACGGTGGGGCGGCGGCCGACAGCGACTCGAGCCCGGACGAGCCGAGCCGCCCGGGCTGTGCCTCGGAATCCAAGGTGTAGGGCCGGGCGCCCTCCCCGCCTCCCCGCCTCCCCAGCCCGGGCGCAGGCTCTGCGCCCCGGGAGGAAGAGAACCCGGGCGTCCCTGAATGGCTTCCTGGGGGAAGAGGAGATCTGTGTTTACTCAAGACCGAAAGCAGGTGAATTCGAAGCCCGCAAACCTCGTCTGCATCGTCCAAGGCAAACAGAAAAGCCACAGACAGTGTTGCACAGAAAGGAAGGTTTGGGGAGGGGTGGGAGAGCGGCTTGCTGATTTTTGTTGGGTTCTTTTTTCTCTTTGTGGTCCGGCCTTCTTTTGTGGGTGCGTGTGATACGTCTTTAGATTTTTTTTTTTTCTCCCAGGTGGTTTTTTAACACTCTCTGCGATGACCGGGAAGGGAAGGGAGAAGCGTTAGGAGATAAGTCTCTGACTTGGCTTCTATCCCGTTCTCGGGAACAGGAGCGGTCAACCGGAGAAAGAGGAGAGGATGAGAGTTGATGAGGACGTGTTTCCTTTGCCTTCCGTTGAAATTTCATTTGAATTGCTGAGTAATGATTTCTCCTGTTCTTAAAGCAGAGGGAAAGGATGGATGCAAAAATCGCGTTTCAGGAAATTTTAAGCTATTCTTGGAACAAGCCTCACCTTGCTTTCCTTTTGTAGGGCAAGCCGGCTGTCCCCGAGAGCCTCGGTGGTCAGGCCGAGGGGTTCCTACCTCACACTGTGCACATTGCACAGCAAGATAGAAAGTCTTGTTTATATTAAACAGCTTATTTATGTATCAATATTAGTTGGAAGGACCAGGCGCTGAGCCTCTGTGACGTGTGACTCTGTCCGTTGAAGACAGGACAGAAAAAGAAAAGAAGAAGAGGAAACAGTTCAGATTACTGCACATGTGGGTAAAAACGAAAAGCAGAACAAAACAAAAAGGCGTGATTCAAAGTGGCATTTTTGCACAGTATTAGGAACTGTAAAGTCCGCTGAAGATGTTACTTGCACAAAAAGAAATTGAATATTTTTTAACGGGGGTGGGGTGAGGTAGGGGCAGATCCTAAAAACTAAAATAAAACTCAAACTCTGCTTCTGTTGTCTATTATGTTACTGAGCTAATGATTTATTGGAAAAATACCTTTTTATACTCTTTTATCATGGTACTGTAACTGTATCCATATTATAAATATAATTATCTTAAGGATTTTTTTATTATTTTTTTATGTCCAAGGGCCCACGTGAATCTGCTGGTAATACTTAGCACTTGTGTGTAAATACTATTTCCTCTCTGTGTTTTGCCAAGTATTTATACTCTGGTGCAACTAACTACTATGTGAGGAATTGATCCATGTGCAATAAATACCAATAAAGCACAAAAAAGATTATGTACTGTGTGTCTGTAAGGGCTCAGTGATAATGGAAAAGACAGTTTGTTTTGTTCAAAATATAGGCTGGATTTCCCATAGAGCTCTTTTAATAGCTTTTCATGACTCAATAGCATAGCAAAATGCCTCTAGACCAAATAAGGCGTGCACCTACTGAGAGCTGCATGCTTGCCCTAAATTTTCACAGCCAGATTCAGAGTATTCTAGACTACTTGTAGGTGTTTTCAAGATCCCATCTGCCGTACTTGCCTTAAGAAGTAATATTTGGGATTGTGCATCTTCTAAGAAAAAATGATTGAGTCAGGTAACTCAGCTGCAACTTTGCACAGAAATGCAGGAAAGAAGACTAAGTCGTGGAACCGGCATTGCCTACTTGGAATTCGGTAAGTGGCATCCACGGCTGGTTTTTGTTTTCCAACAGAAAATCAAAATCACAGTGTGTGCAGATTTCTCCAGTGGCTGTTTAGAAAGCAAAATGCTTTCATGGTTAAGCAAAAATTTATAAAAGAGCACTTAAGTAAATTTTTTTTTCTCTTGTGTAATTAAGTAGACCATTTCAGCAGAAGTTAGACCATTTCAGCAGAAGTTCTGGGTGGACAGGTAACAGGTAAAAGTAAATGTGAAGTTTTCAAATTTCCTAACAAGAGTATGACACCCCCCCAATGGATAGGATAGTTTTCCTAAAGTTAGTTCCTAAGGAAAATATAGTGAAATTCTATCTTGGGATTAATTCTACATTCTCCAAAATAAGTTTAAGTATTTCTCTTTCTTTGTATTTTTAAACAAGCTTTTCATTTCATGATGGTACAGTAAAGAAACCAATGTGAAGAGTATAAAGTTTTGGCTTATACCGAGGTTGAACATGAACAAACTCTTCGCTACCAAGGAAAGTCAAGACCGATTATCCTTTTTTTTTTGGCAATGCGATATTCTAAAAACCAGGAAAGACGAGAGTCTTCTGAGAAAGATTAATGTTGCCGATGTTTTAGAGACCAGCAGAAGGTTGCATGAACAGTAGCAGTTTCAACAAAAGCTGCTGTGAAGTTTAACCCCTTTGTCCAGCAAAGAAAAAAGTGGAGAGGTGGGAGATAGCAAAAGTTACTTAAAAATACAGATACATACCTAAAGAAACTCATTTTGGAGAATGTAAAAATTCCAGGATGAAATCTCACTATCCTTTCCCCTAGGAACAAATACAGTCCATTTCTATCCTCCCTTCCCCCTCCTGAATATGTAAGTTGCATTTTGTCAGGGGTTTTGTTCCTCTTCGTTTTTAAATCATACTAGAAAATTAACAGACTTAATGTCTACAGTTTCATCTGAAGAGCACTCAAGTACCAGGTAATGCTTCACTTTCCTATTTTGTCTAGCTAAGTCTTTACATTTAAATAAAAAGAAATTTTCCCAGACCCAAACTTACATATAGACCCATCAAACCTTAGGTCTCAAAATCATGAAAGTCCTATAAACTTTAATAACAAATATATATAATTTAACTGCTTAGTAGACAGGTCTGAACTCTTTAGTGAATTAGAGGAAACCACTATAATCTTGGGGCCAGTTTATATGTATTTGTAGGAAATAGAAAAAAAGAGTTTTCTGTGATCTCTTGAGTTCTCTAACTGAGGGTTACGGGGATTCAGAAACAGACCTTGTCAGTGATTCCTACTACCCAGGAAAACTGCTTTTCGTTGTTTTGAAGAAGACATTGATAGAAGATATAATAGAAATGTAGGAATCTGAGCTGCCAATCCCAATAGCTACATCAGTGGGAGGAGAAAACTGCCAATCCTGTTTAATCTGGTGAGATAATGCACAGTAGAAGTGACAGGAGGAGGGCAGTGAGTATGCAGAAAATCAACCTTACCCCGCGGGTTTGTGTGTAACAGTACCAAAGGCATAAGCCTTAAAATTAAAACAGTGAACATATGACCAAGAGTCACTTATTTGCTACATTTGAAATTATGTTTCGGTTGCACGCTGTAAAGTTCTCTATGTGTAACAAGATATTCCAGCATCCATAATTCTCCCTCCAGTGTAGGAATCTATAATTGGTATAGAAGATAGCTTCATCGCTTGGTGAACTTGGCAATGTAAAACTTTGTAAATAGAGCTCATTTTTTCTATCCAGGCTTTCTTTGGAACTGGAATTATTAATAACCTCTAAGTGGCTATTGTGAAACCTTTCCTTGTTAAGCACATTTTCCTAATTTCGCATTTTGTTGAGCGTGCTGACTTCCTCTGGCAATATGTAAAATTGCCAGACGGAAATTCTGCACTCGAAGTCTCAGGATGATATTAGCATTCAAGTTTTTAGCAAGAGCTTCTAAGCAAGGGTCAAAAGGAAAATTATTAAGTTTTACTGCTATTTGTGAAAGGCTTAAAAAAATTTTTTAACAAAGCAGGACCCATCAGTTCTTTGGAAGGAAAAAAATTTAAAACCTTAGCCGTAATTCAAATTAAACACATTGGCACAGATTAGTTTTATTTGTACATTTCTGGCATTATGTGCTGAGAAATACTAATTCTTTTGACTCCCTGCCAATTTGCTACTAATCAAAATGGAGAAGATATGCACTGTTTGGATTATACCTAAAAATAGTTGTACTACAGTCACATCAGCAAATGGAATTAATTTCTCTTTCTTCTCCTTCACACACATTATTTAATTTTCCATCTAGAATATTGCTTGTGAATCTCATAATTTGTGATTCAATGTGTCCCAGAGTGCACTGCTACGTTGCAATTCTTTTAAAGCAAATTCTAGGGGTGGGATAGGGAGGGTGGGAGGGAGACGCAAGAGGGAGGAGATATGGCGATATATGTATATGTATAGCTGATTCACTTTGTTATACAAAAGAAACTAATACACCATTGTAAAGCAATTATACTCCAATAAAGATGTTAAAAAAAAGAAAAAAAAAGCAAATTCTATCAAACTACTTTCTGAGAAATACACCTCTCCTAAAATTCCAACTTTTACTCTGCTCTCATTTAAAGAGTCTCTACTAAATAGTCCATATAATGTCATCAAAGAAGTATTAATACTATAAATAGATACTTTTTGGATTAATTTACCTCCTGATAGTCTCTTTACCTTTTGTGGGAGATAGTTTCTGAATCAATAAGACTTGGTCATTTGATGGAGCAGTTAATAGGCTTCCAGATGCAATCGCTCTAAAGACAGACTGGAAAACAGCTGCCCAAAGGAGAAGCTGACACTATGCTGACAACATGAGAGCATGATCTTGGCAGTCATCTTAGCAGCACCCAAGAAAGCATGGAAAGTAACTGTCTACACCCTTTAAACCTTTGTCTTCACTTACATGTTGCCTTCACTCTGAGCACATCTCTACCTTCCTGGTACCTGAAGCCAGTTCTTGCCTTGGACATACCCTATACTCACCAGCCCTTCTCTTGAGCACATCTTCATTTCCTCTTGAATGAACTAGAACCATCTAGAACATCTAGATAAATTGTCTTCCTGACAGCATTAACGTCTCATGAACAGTTTCCTAAAGCTCTGGTTTTCAACATCTCTCAATACTTAAGATTCTTGTTTTCTTCTCTCTCCATGTCCCCTGGCTCATAGCTATTAATTAATATTAGCAAGATCACATTGTTTTCTTCCTATTTATGAGAGAACTTAC